ATTGCTCCTATTGTAAATTGGTAGATCCTGCAATCAAATTCACCTGTCATCTTCCAGGGACCTCAGCTGTAAATCAAGGCTACACGAATATAATACTCTACAAATCATCTTACACAAAAGCCCTTTGAATAAACATTGGTGGATCCTATTAAGAGAACACTGATTGGATTGCTAGGATTTGGGTTGTTTTGCAGCTGCTGTTCATTAAAGCATGTTCAAGTCACCCTCCTTTGCCCAAGTACAGCTCAGAGAGCATGAACAGCAGTGGGACAGTGAGAAGCACAGGGAGATGTGTGTGTATTGTCCCAGCTGAGGAGGGATGGATTGCTGCAGAGAAACCTCTGCCCTCATGCTGGGGCTGAACACCAGCAGCTGCAGGGCTGACCTGTGTGAATGAAGGTGTGTTTCTTCATATCAGATTTCTGGTGGAACCGCTTCCCACAGTACTGGCACGGATAGGGTCGGGTGTCCGAGTGGATGAGCAGGTGGGTGGACAGAGTAGAAGATCTCTTAAAACTCTTGCCACAGATCTTACAATCAAAGCTGCGTTCCTGCAGAAAGATGAGCAGAAGCACGCACGTTACATGACACCAGTGATCCCGTCAGCAACAAACTGTCCAGCAGCACATCAGAGTTGCCCCTTCTGCCTTAGCATGCACTTACAGTTCTCCAGAGAGCTGAACTGGCCTTCAGACACATCACCACTGGCCTGATACCACCACATGATAAAAAAGATAATGAATCCTCTCCCAGTGCTGTGCACTGCTCCTCAAAAAATTTAACTGAACAGCTCTTCCTGTGGGCAGGAATAGCCAGGTGGGAGCAGCCCCGATGGCCCAGGCAGAGTCTGCCTGCACATTTAATAGAGGCCCAAGACACAATCACTCTACTGGGAAGCCAAACAGCTGCAGGGCTGTTCAGAGGCCACCTCTTCATTGTACACAGGAAAGTGGGTGCTAAGGTCTGCTTGGCTCTCCTGGGAAATCTCTGTGGCAGACTGAGTTCTGCTGGCAGAGGAACAACTAACTGTTTACCTTCAGTTCCATTAACATTCAAGTGAAAGGTATGTAGAGCACCTGGGAAAAACAGCTTTTCAGGTTACTACTTTAACATATAAAAACAAATGCTTTAAGATCTTATGTCTCTCGCCTCTCCCTCACACACTTCTTCCTCTCCACCACTTTCTTCCACCATAAATCATCTCTTCTTTCCATTCCTTAACCTCCACTGCACCTTCCTCTTCCTTCTATGCTTTCACACAATCACCTTCTTTATTTGGCTTTTAGTGCACTCTCCCTGAAATGCTGTCCCCTCCACAGACACAGAATGCAGCGTGCTCTTTTCACCACTGTTTAATTAGACAATATCTCCCCTCATTGTGTGCTCTGCTGGTTACACACTCGTGAAATTATAAATAAAACAGTTAGCAAAAAAACACTGCTGTAACTCTATCCACCAAAAGCCAATCCAAAGAAGGAAGATTTGCCAGGTCTAGTGGGTGGGGAAGGGGAAATATGGCACATATCAGCAGGTGGAAAATGTTACAAGTCCTCCTACCAAAATTAACTACCATATTCTTTTGGTGTGTGACTCAGTGTGTTGAGACGGGTGAAGTCTGTGCTCTCTGGTCATTCATCTGTTCCCTTCACAGACACAGTGACTACAAACAAGGGAAGACTCACTTCTTTGGGGGAGGGAGGAGAAAGAATGAGGAAAACTGCATCCAAAGAAAGCACGAGTTGCTTTAGCTGTTAAAGAAAAGTCCACATCTGCATTACAATTTCCAACTCTGAGAGGGCAAATTTATTATCTGTTACCTCTGGAGTGCCAAAAGTGCCCATTGCTTAAATACAGATGCATGCAAGGTCTGAGGAATGGAAACAAAGCCTGTGTTCTTTAATTTGGTGATTAGCTCCTTTGCTCACTAGCTGCCCACCCTTTCCTCTGCTTGTCACCATATTCTTCACCTACAACTGCCCAACTGCAGC